CCTGCAAGAGAATTCTCACCGAGAACCTTCCGCAAATTATTAATAAGGTGAAACTTGAGAATTTCGCCAACTTCTGAAACTAATGTTTCCAAGAATGATGTCTGGTCAAGCTCGTCTTCATGTTATCTTCCTCGTGTGTTACTCTTTTTTTCCAGGCTCTTCCATACAAAAGTCAGGATCAAGCAGCGCTTAAGAAACATGTGGAGTGTGTTGAAGACCAGGAGTACATTCGTTCTCAGCTCTCTGCAGCCAACCTTGTGGCATTTGTCAGAGATGAAGCTGTTCTACCGCGTGCAAGTGGAGCAGATGACAGGCCAATGGAAAGGTCTGGTGTCACTTTGTTCAAAAGTCCGGACAGTTTGAGAGTGGAGTTTAATATGCCACACGCTGGAAAGTAAGAACAAATTTCGTGATGCGCTGTATGTTGAAGGAGCTCTGCACGATAATTGGAGTCTCTGAAAAGAGAAATTCCTGTTGGGCGCATCTCGACTGAATGTCATAAAACAAAAGTAATCACAACAGGCATCAGGGGAAAGGAAAATATCACATGAAACCAACAACAAAACAACAACAACAACATGATTGACTAAGATTGCTTTAATAAGCGATTTTTCTCTGGATCTATCACAGAGGGTCTCAATTAACCGTCCGCCCGTAAAATAACCAAAAAGTTTAGCCGTTAGGTGTTAAAAGGATTGAAAAATTTCAACTCAGTCGTTAACAAAGTTAACCGTTAGCCGTTAATTGGCGAAAATATTAACCGTTAGCCTTAAAAGCCATCACCGTCATCACTAAGCGGAGTGAGAGAAGGAAAAGTAAGATGTAATTCTTCATTTGTTAGGGTGACAGGCATGGGTATTCCTAAAGGGGTATCTCTTATTGTGGGCGGTGGTTTTCACGGCAAGTCCACGCTGCTAAATGCCATCCAGTTTGGAGTGTATAACCACATCCCTGGGGACGGACGGGAGTTTGTCTGCACCGATCCGACAGCGGTTTCAATACGGGCTGAAGATGGTAAGAAATGAGTTTTTTTATAAAGTGTTTTAATCCTTGTCATTGTGCCTCCTTGCTGCGAAAATGTTTCGCATATCATGCTTTATATTTACCCGTTGGTTTGTGTGTTCGTTACGTCACAGGCTCGCTTGTTCATTCTAACACTCGTTTGCTCATTTGTTCATCCCTTTTCTCGTTCTCTTCCTTGTCTGCTTCCTTGTTTGCCTGCTCGTGCGCTCGCCTGCTCGTGCGCTCGCCTGCTCGTGCGCTCGCCTGCTCGTGCGCTCGCCTGCTCGTGCGCTCGCCTGCTCGTGCGCTCGCCTGCTCGTGCGCTCGCCTGCTCGTGCGCTCGCCTGCTCGTGCGCTCGCCTGCTCGTGCGCTCGCCTGCTCGTGCGCTCGCCTGCTCGTGCGCTCGCCTGCTCGTGCGCTCGCCGCTCGTGCGCTCGCCTGCTCGTGCGCTCGCCTGCTCGTGCGCTCGCCTGCTCGTGCGCTCGCCTGCTCGTGCGCTCGCCTGCTCGTGCGCTCGCCTGCTCGTGCGCTCGCCTGCTCGTGCGCTCGCCTGCTCGTGCGCTCGCCTGCTCGTGCGCTCGCCTGCTCGTGCGCTTGCTTGCTTGTGTATTCATGAACTGTTGCCTGGCTCGCCCGTACGCTTGTGCGCTCGTTCGCTCCATCTTTCGTAATCTCTTTGCTCGTTCGGCGCACAGAACGTGTGCGCACCTCTGGTTATTAGCTCTTTGCCTTTTTTTTTAGGACACTGTACTGTGAATCTATGAACGTTTTCACTTTTATGTTTATTGCGTTTAGGTAGAAGTATAGAGAAAGTAGACATACGGCCATTCATAAACAACTTACCTTTTGGTCGAGACACGAGCAAGTTTTGTACACAGGACGGCAGCGGCTCGACTACACAAGCTGCAAATATTGTCGAAGCTTTGGAAACTGGGAGCAAGTGCTTGCTAATTGATGAGGTGATTATTTTGATAGTTAATATTCACGAGTAGTTGGTTGCATTAGCGGGTTGTAGGGTAAAAGTTATCGATAAAATCTTAAGTTCACCGCAAAGTGATTATAAAACAAAGATAGCAACATTTGAGTAATAAAATTCAACTGCGCGAGCGTGCCTCATAGTTTTATTGTGCACGCCTTTGACGTCAGCAAAGAAATGATTGACAGTAAAGTTCCCGTCTGGTGTGGCTGCGAGTTTCGAGACTTTCAAGATGGTTTTTCGGACAATTTTTTGACCCGCTAAAGTTAATTTTTAAATGTTGATATGTCCTTGAAGTATTGTGCAACAGAACATTTCGTTCTGAATCTGACAACTTGCAAAATTTTCAACTCAACGCCTTTGTGATTACTTGGGTTTTGGTTTTTCGACAATCAGATGAAATGCAATCTGAACTTCCGCTTCTCCTTACTCAGGATACAAGCGCAACGAATTTTATGATTCGAGATGCCCGCATGCAGAAGCTGGTTGCTGCTGAAAAGGAACCAATCACTCCTTTTATATCGAAGGTGAGTTCTTGATTTTTGTTAAGTGGAAACGCGAACGTACGCGCGGGGATAAAGGGCAAGAAGTGATGTTCAAGAACCAACAGGGCTCACGTTGATTTTTGATGACAGCGAAGACAAAGAAGAATGGCATACTTGACGTCTGTATGCAAGCCAAGGAGATTGGGACTAGGAGATACAAGCTTGTTTCAAGGAGAACGCATTTAATAACTTAATTGTGTAAAAATTACATCTAAAACTTGAACGTTCAACACCTCTATGATCTTGTTTGTGCTCTCAGGTTCGTAGCTTGTTCGACGACTTTGGGGTCTCGTCGATCCTCGTTATAGGAGGCTCAGGAGATTATTTTCAGGTAAACAGTATTTATGATAGAATGATTTTCAACTAGGGGTCGAAAGCAACCCGGGAATTACTTTGATTTTCTCTAACTTTTGTTCACACTATCTTCTCAACCAATCAGATGCAAAAATAAAATGAACTTAACATGTCGTTGGCTAAAGATAACATAATGTAAACTTCTGTTCTTTGATTACTTTTGGTTTGGTTATTCAACACTCAATTAAAAAGTACCTTATGCAGTGAAGGAGCAAGGTCCTACGATTTTCCATTGTCTTAGTTTACAACTTCGATAATTTGAACATCACAATACAAAGACCAAATTTCTTGGCTTGACAAACCTCATATGACAGGGGTACTTCTTTGAATCTCGCTTAACATAGATTTAACTCAAAGCAAAATATGAGCTCTCTGTTTCTCTTTCTTTGTACCCCTTTTGTCTCAAAGGTTGCTGATCACGTGATCATGATGGACTGTTACTCTTCGCGTGACGTCACAGATCAAGCAAAGGTTAGTGCGCAGATTCGATGTTGATAGAAGAAAGAGCTGAACAAAACAATCTGAGGTGAACGTGAGAGCGAGGAATGCAACAAGTTTAAGCGCGAGGGAAACATTGAACCTGTTCTAAAAACCTGCAGGAAACGTTGGAAGAGACAAGCCCGATATGTGTGCACTTATGGAAGCGTAGCAGTCACCTTTTGCCGCACTTTTCACCAAGGTCACGTTTTTCCGCGCTTTTTCGTTGAAGTCACTTTCCCGCGCCTTTTCGCGAATGCGAATTTTCCCGCGCTATTTTCCTGTTGCGGATTGTTTTCCCGCCCTTTCTACTTTTTCCCGTATTTTACCAGGTACATGATGTTTCAACTAACAAAACTCTTTCCCGTTGTTGTTCCTTGCCGTTGTTTAGGCCATTGCTATGGAGCATAAGGAGATCAGTCCTCAGTCTCGCAGTCCGTTTGTTATGCCTGCGCCTCGGATTCCCATAGCTGAAAGTTTTGACGCCACAATCGGAGACAGAGAGAAGGTTTGGTTAAAATTAATGTATCTGATCTTAACAATATCTTAGTTCGTATAGTTGTGATTTTTTTAAAAGAAGTATTGAATTGCTGAGAGGAGAATTTTCAATGAAGCAGAATTCCCGCGAGTTTATTAGCGAAAGTCTTCCTATTTTTTAGAATTTTTTTTTCTGTGTCGGGTCACACCTAATACAACCGCTATCATGCTCTGGGCTTGTAGTGCGAGTCCTAATCTTGAGGCTGAAAAATGGATTTAGTGGTTTTAAATCAGTCTTGAAGTTTTTTTCTTGATTGTGTGTACCAACCCTGAATTAATAGTTCATATTGGCTTCCTGGTATCAACGGGTAAGAAAAGTAGCTTAAGCTGTTATTCTTTTCTCTGCCCATCCTAGCTTTTTTTTAAGGGAATTGTTGTAATCGTTTGACTTTCAGGTCAAAGTGAGGGGAAAGACACAGTTTGGTTTCCAGGTTCAGTTTGGTAACGAAGAAATCGATCTCTCGTTTATTGAGCAGCTGGGAGAGTTCAGTCAAACGAGGTATAACCTCTTCTTCTCGCTTCCGTTGAACCAGGCTTCTGTAGACGTGATGCTTTTCTTTACTTTCACGTAAGATTATTAAATGTAGGTGGATAATAAACCATTTAAGCGTAGATTTACTTTCTTTTTTCCCACTGTCTGATCAAGGGCCATAGGAGATACTATTCTGTACGCAAGGAATAATTATATGGACGGAAAGACATCGCTTCTGAAAGTGTTGCAAAGGTAAGTACATCATGGTATGATACATATTTTAAGAAAATTTACCAACGTCTTTCGTGCAAATCTTCTTTCTGTAGAGAGTAATACGTGGGCGCGAGTAGATATAGAACTGCTCCTCTCGTGTTCAACTCGATGTCTCACTCATTTTCTGCGCCATCACTCATAAAATATCTAGTCGAACACTAGAAGAGAAATTCCATATCTACAGGCAATCATATATTATTTTCGGATCAATATCAGTATCTGGGCAACTGCCCACCTACCCCTCCCCTAACCCAACAACAGGTTGGGGAGGGGTAGGTGGGCAGTTGCCCAGATACTGATATTGATCTTTATTTCCTTTATTATACAAACACCAAAGGGCTTTACCGACAAAAAAACGTCGTCTTTATTAATTAACGAGAATGGTGAACGCTTTGAATTGAACCAGACAAAGTGGGGCGAAAGGCGAGTGACGTGTCAGCAGCTGACAGTTAAAAAAAGGAATATTGATTGTAATGTGACACGTGTGCAGTTACAGCTAATTGTAAATGGTAATTGTAAAACACCGCAATTTATTCAAATTATGTTAGGAAATAAGTCCCTCTCTCTTTCTTGTTCTCAACTTATATAGCTATAAAACTTGTTTCTATTTCTTGTTAAGGGTGGAGCAAGACTTTAACACCAAAGGTCTAGACGTACTCAGTCCCAGACTTCCTCTTGGCTGCTTTTCTCGCCCCAGACTTCACGAGATCGCCGCTGCCATCAATAGGTTGAGAGCACTGGCCATGAAATGAAATTAGAAAGCGGCGAAGAAGAGCGAGGGCAGGAAAGCATTCAAGTTATTTTTTCCTTTCTGTTATGATCACGTTGAGTTTCCTATCGTAGCGCCAGCACACCATATACTTAATAACCTGCGGTTTGAAGCGTTCAAAAAGGTTTCCAGGCAACGTGACGCCAGTTGCAAGTGAAGATTTCTGAGAACTCGAACCGTCTTGTAATTGGTCTGTTATAAAGTCGCTAGGTCTTTAGTAAAATAAAAGGGAATCTTGCAGACGGACAATGGAAGGCGAACGAGACAATGCAAAATAATCTACGGGCAGAGTACATTGGAATTTGGATTCAACTTTGAACTATCTATTTACAGACACATTACATGTAGCTTACAGATGTAAAGTGTAGATTTCCAAGTTGGAAATAAAGTTACTCGTCAGTCCAGAATGTACAACCAAGGAGCCTCTTGACTTTCCATCAGTTTGCCAGTTTGTTTTGATCATAGTTACAAGTCGTTCTACTTGATATTCATGGAAAATCTCCATACGTTACGTATAAAGTAAAATGGACTTCTGACTTCTTACTTGCACAACACATACCACGCAAATATTGACAGTTTCGTACTATCATGGCATGCTGCTAATTGCCAATTTATCTTGATAAAGGTAACTCTCATTGGCGAAATACAGATCCTACGACGGAGGGGGTGGGGAGGCAGGTGGCAAAACCCTCTACTGCTTTGTAATTGATACCAGCATCACAGTGACGTTATCAGAACTTCCATTTCTGATGGCTTCACTAGCGATTTTGTTACACGCGTCCTGGAAGCGCGCGGAAACTGGGTCGAGTTGTACATCTTCCAGACCTGCAAAAGTTTCAGGGTGGGCCATTACAACTTTCACTAAGCCTTACTTGTAGCCAGGCTCTCTCTTGTTTTCGCTCTTGAGAGACATTAGGGAACGAGCTTGGCAGTGTTGCCAAATTAAAAAGCAAACGAATGGTACGCAACGGATAAATTACACACCTGTGTTGTTCTCGGTCTTTTGGGAAGTTTCTTCGCTATTTTCTGTCTGTGGAAATAAAAAAGGTGAGCAAAGAGATTATTTTAGCGAGAGAACTTTTTCAATTTTATGTCATAAAAACCCAAAAATCACCCTAAAGTCCAATCAGAATAGTCTGCTAAATTACAAAAAAGCCACACGTCATCAGCTGCAAGCGTGGGAAAACGAGAGTGAGTGTGAGGAGAGAGGTTTCAGTTTTGCAACCGATTGCTTGGAAAGATGGCGCCAGTTTTCTATACCAACAATTGAGCGCTGCAAAACAGAACCAATGAAATCCCGTATTACTTTCCAATAAGCGCCGGCCTCGGATAAACTTTACACCAGTGAAATCATACAGCATTTAAGCTAAGATTATAAGTGAAAAAAGGGCATATGCGGTACAATTTGGCGGTAATCGTCACGATTTCATTTATGCAAAACAGCGAGGTCCTCGCACTTTCCACATGTTTCTATATCACATATATCTGAACGAATAAAAGTAACTTTAGTTGGTGATTTAAGAAACATTTTGAAATAAGCTGTGGTGTCTAATCGTATGATCAGGGTTTAAAACAACTCGAGGACTACCTTAACAGTACAACTTACCTCCAAAATGTTGTTAATGAACTTTAAGGCAGAATCTACTGAAAATCCCTTCCATAGACCATCGCAAGCTAGAAGTAAATATCTACGGGTAAAAATGTGATGATCACAAAATCTGCTTCAGTAAACTTGAAACTTCACAGAGAAATAAACATAGGGTAACAACTCTCGCCAAGGTTTTGATTTAGGCGAGGATCACTGGGCAATTATAAATTCGTCTCCAGGCCCTGCTCTGACCAGAAACATACCTGTCGTTGTCTGTTAGAGTGCACCTCATGACGTCCGGGATACAGCTGACTCCACATCTCTTAAATCTACCATCTCCGATTGAACGCGACACTTCCAAGACGCCAAGAACTCGACCTTCTCTGAAAAATATTAGAACAAAGTCTGGTAAAAACAAAGTTCGTTTTCACTGGTTTCTTCCCGTTGCCGGGCCGTCTTCTTTTTTGACAATTTGACAAAGAAGATCCGTCTTCTTTTTTGACAATTTGACAAAGAAGATATTGACGATCTCGTTAGCAGATTGTCTATGTGGGAGTACCCCTTCGGGAAAAAAAAACTGCCGTCAGTGAGAATAACTAAGGTTTCGATAACTTATGCCGAAGTTATCTTCCTTCAGGATCATCAGTGAAGATACCCAACTCTGACTTTTTCCTATTCTTTTTATTTTCCTTAAGTCGTTTATCATTTTTAGTATGGAGGCCAATTTTTGCTTTCTACCTGACAGTTCCTCCAGCCTTTTGAATCCTCATCCTTTCCTCATACTGCAAAGAAATAACATTCAAGTGATCAACTAAAGTTTTTTTAGGTGATAAAAATAAGTGGTTTTGTCATCATTCAGCATATTTATCAAATGACCCATGCGGCACCGTGCGCGTAGTCCCATGGAAAACCATACTGAAAGCTGACATGCGCAGGGCCGCACGGGTTGACGAGAGCCGGTCCATAAAGAGCTGTCCAGCCCTGTACGAACATGGCTTTTTTGTAAAAACTCCAAGGAAAAACGAAAATAGCAAAAAAAAAAGGTTTTTTGATGAATTGTGATTTTCTTGTTCTGACTCGAAAAAAACAATGGAAAAGTCATTTTTTGTAAAATCTTTTTAGTGGTTGTCCCACGTGCGCCCGTCCATCGCGTCTTTATTAAGTTGACACAAAATTTTTCGAAGCGGTCACATGATAAAATGCCTATTGACTGAGTTTGGTCGGATAAGAAAATATTTTTCTCTCAGCCGCGAAGATCAAACCGCGTAGCGCTTGGTCGGTACGTCAGGACCTCGAGCCAAATATTTTCCCGTCCAACCCGACCAAGCTCAGTCAAAAAGTACGTGTACATGTACATGACCCTTACCTGAGATGGAGAATGATCCTTGGAAAGAGAAACCACTGATGTCTCTCCATTTTCACCACAACGACAAAGAAGTGCCTGTAGGTCACGAGCAAACATTCATACTTTGTTGTTAGTCATTTACTTTAAGAATCCTAACAGAAATTGTTGAATGCATTGACCACTTTCATCATAGCCACCTTAAAAAAAATTCTTCAGAAAAAGTGGTAAATTCAACAAATAGATTCCATGTTGCCATGTGTCTGTGTCCAGTAATAGATCACAGATGAGGTCAAAATGTGGTAAGAACAAAAAAGTGGCACAGGAGGTACAACTGAGTGTGTCACTGATTCTCTTACCACATTTTGATGTCCTCTGTGATCTATAACTGTATGGACACACAGCGACATGGAACCTATTTGTTTTGGAAAGATCTTCCATGTAATGTAATAAATTGCCATGATAGTCCAAAGATCAACAAGTTTAAACTAAGATTGAAGAATCACATGAATATTTATTAAATGGACATTCTATACTTTTTTATGACATTTCTGTGATTCTCATATATTTTCATTTATGTGCTTTTTTATGATGTAAACTTTTTATTCATTTTTTTTAATATATTTTACTTTTTTTGAAGATCTTTAATATAGGGTTAACCTCTGGGTTTCCTTTTTCTTATTAACAGGGCTTGTTATAAAAAGTACTTGTTATTTTGAAATAAAGTATTGTATTATATGATAAAAAAGCATAACTTTCTTTATTTTATTTCAATATGCATCTTTCCTCCAATAAAACATACAAAAAGTAATAGCCAATCAAAATGCAGGTATAATTCAGCTGATCATTTATTTAAAAATAAATCAAAGGTAAATGTAAGTGATAATTCAACAGTACCCTGCTATCACCAAGGTTTGCGACATACAAAACATCATCCATAACAAGGGCAGTGACAGCAGTTGATCCATCTTTCCAAACTGGTGACCTATGCAATGTTAAAAGTGAACCTTGTTAATCATTTTTAAGTATGGAGAAATTAGGGCAACATGTTTTACCCTGACTCACAGTGCCTTACTTCATCCAGTGTAGCATTGTACAAAGCTGGGTCAAGATAACCCAGGGTTAGTGTGAAATCTGATTTCAGATCTGAACACTTTAAAAGAAAATTCAGTTGAATTCTTTTTGTCTGGAATATGATTATTACAGAAAATCACCCCAAAAAGGATTTTGAACAGAGGAATATAGAAAACCAAGCTAAAATTTCATCTTCAAACAACTGGGCCCAGGAGTATAAATGGATACTTGTGAACTGATCTAGAAGTCAGACAAAATGCTGGGTTTAACCTCCCATGGACTGGCATCTCATCCAGGAGTTGAGAGGAGGAGTAGCAATAATCTGAATAGTTTCACGCCACAGAAACTGAAATGAGCTCTGGCTGAATGAGCAGCTAGGCTTTTGTACAGACTGCACCCTTTAATTTTTTTTTTATCAAAACTGAGTGTTGACTTCCCCATCACTGAGAAATCAACTGCAATTACCAGTGATAACTAGAGACTTACGCCTTCGATGCTTCTAGCAGAAACTCCTCATCAGTCTTTTTATATGCATCTGTTACACATCTTTTTATCTCTTTGTCTTTGTTAGCAGCTTCTCCTGTACATGGAAAGAAAAGTGTCAAAGAGGAAGTCAACATAAAACTCACAGGAAGTCAAAAATTACTAACAGTAAGTCGATAAGTAAACTAAAGTTTGCCATCAATTTACCATCAACCTTTTGGAAACTTGAGCACAATGTTCTTGTGCAGGTGTTCAGCTGCAAACTGAGCAGCTTTGGGGCCAGCATGTCCATCAAACACTCCATAGTAACACATTCGAGAGCTACAAGCACAAGACAAACAATAAAGAAATATTACCTCAAGCTTGTTTGACCCTTTTTTAGCCTGCAGTGCCGCTGTCTTATTTGGGCCAGTTAACTTACTTCATTCCCTCCCCTCTCCTTCCTTTTGACTGTCATTCACCCCCTTCTTACATTTTTTTTCCTCTCTCCAGCCTTCCTCCATTGTAAAATTCAAGGATGGCAGCTAAAATTTCACCAAGAAAATACTGGGCACTTGCTCACCAAAAATTGTGCCTGCTCTGCAGGTTAGGCCTTTACAACCTTACATCAGTATATTCTCATATTCTCCATACTGGTTACTTATTAGTAGGACTGGATCCTCATTCACTCTAAATTCCCCAAATAGCATATTCTCCTCTTAAGAACTAAAATTCTTATCAGAATAATCATTTTAATGGTGATTCTTTCAAGGAGAATCGAGGTTCTTGAAACAAGATTGACTATAGAAGAGAATTCTTGTGGTAAGAATGCATTACATCTGAGTATCTTGAGAAGAATCTTTATTTTAGAAACTCTTGCCCCAAGAACTGGGAATTCTTTTCTCAAGAATGAGAATTCTTTTCAGCAGGTAATGAAGTAGAGAGTTCTTTTGGAAAGAATGTTTAATTGCAAATGTCATGGATAGAATTGCAATTAACGAGCATTCTTTTCAGCAGGCAATGAAGCAGAGAGTTTTTCTGGAAAGAATATTTAGTTACAAATCTTATGAACAGAATCGCAATTTCAGAGACTCTTGCCTCAAGAATCTGGAATTCTTTTTTGTAGGAATGAGGATTCTTTCTGGTAGGCAAAGAAGTAAAAGGTTCTTCTGGAAAGAATGTTTAAATAGCAGATCCTATGAGAAGAATTGCAATTTCAGAATTCATTAGATAAGATGCAGAATCTCTTATAACCTTATGAGGCCTTGAGCTATGCAAGTAGATGAAAATTCTGCCAGTGGTCTAGCATTGAGAGCAACTTTTAGTAGCAGACCTCCCACACACTCCTTCCCGACTCATCTCAAATCTTCCTGCAGGTAGAGAAACACACTTCTTGCAGCCCTTATAATGAGGCTACTCCTTTGGCTAATACGCAAAATTCTATGGTCACATTTTGATGGGGAGGAGAGAATTGTTCTTTTATTTTACAGTATTCTCCTGTCATGAATTATCTGAAAGAAACCCTGCTTATTTAGACTTACAATCCAAGAGGTTTGTCTGCACCAAACTCTTCCAGGAAATCATTGTTAATAACGTGAGCATCTTGCATGTCATTTCTTTCTCCTTTCCTCTCAGCAACAAAGCCCCTTAGTCTGTATTTAGATTCTAATAAAGAAAGATGAAACTTGTTTGAGTTTATTGTCTCCAGTGGTTGCATCACAAAGAATTCGAAGTGTGTCTTTCATCGGTTGCATGTAACTACTTGTGACATTAAAGCGAGGAGTTTCTTAAACATCAGATGGTTTTAAGACCTATATCAGTCGTATCGAAAAGTTAAATACAGTTGGAGGGAATTGCATAGTTTTATAGTGGCACATTGTGTAATTTTGTCATTTTCATTATCATCGACTTAAATGGAGGACACGAGAGGGTGTGTACCGTAAAAGCCATGTGTTCTACCCTTAAAGTAACACCGTCTCAGTTCTTATCACAAAATGCTCACGTTTTAGTGGTCTTTTCGCTGGGGTACAAGCATCTTCTTCAGTAGCTTCGAGTTTCCTTTTCTTGTCTTCAATTTTCTCCGATGAAGGAAGGTCATCATACAAATTTCCAGCTGAGCTCGACTCGTTATTTCCCCTTGCTGAAATAAAATAAAAAATTCCACACTCTATTACACAAATAAATACAAATCAAGACAAACAGAAAAGTTTTCTAAGTATTACAAGGTGGAGGGAGATCGCCAAATAAGTCGTCCATTTTGAATCGCCAAAGCCAATTACCAGCGGTGATCAAGAGAATGAGCTTTCCCTTCATATAAGAGAAAATATGAATGGAGGTAGGGGGCGAGTCTGTGGGTTACATGTGGAGGAATTAAAGATGCAAGTACGAACTTGCCTTCTTGTTTTGCAAGTCAGCAAACTTTAGTAACGATAAATAAGTCATGATTATGCCTTTACCACTCATTTTAAATGTTTGGGATTTCAAGACGTAGCATACAGCTTGTCAAGGAAAACTCAACCCTGTACCATCGACGGATTGTCTTAGCTCTGAACATTATGGCGGACAGCGCGGAAGACAAGCCATTTTTGGTGGAGTATGCTGCACAGGGAAGAGCTAAGTGCAAAACTTGCAAGCAACAGATAGAGAAGAGTGTGACTCGAATAGGGAAGCTGGTTTCGAATCCATTCGGCGAGGACGGTGGGATGATGAAACAATGGTACCACGTTCCTTGCATTTTCGATACTCTGTCGCGGGCCCGTGCCACAACGAAGAAAATTGACAGCACTGATGATTTGGGCGGATTTGAGAACCTCAAGGATGATGATCAGGCGAAAATTTTAAGCCTCATTAAAGGTTTGCAATGTCTTCTAAGAGGGTTTCAATCCCGTTTCAACGTGGATCCAAACGCTTTAGTTACTGTAATAGTTAAAATTTCTTGGGTGCACTTTCATGCCACCTTAATTAAGCCTAATCCCTAAAAGTGGCAGTAATTCTCCTTACAGTAGCATCACTGAGTCTAACATTAAGGTTATGAGAATAAAGAAAATGATCACCAACTAATATTAAAGAAGCTTGTGATTATAGACAAATTCTCCTTAGTCAACACTTCAGGAAATGTGTAGAGAACAGTATGGAGAATATGCATATTAATGTTAGGGAGTAAAGGGTTAAGGGTGGGCACGAATGAGAGCATATTTCTGCTTGGCTAATGTTTGAAATAATTCTCCTTAACATGGTCTCATGTTTTTTAAAGATCTAGCTGCCAAAATGTCTTCACCTAAAAAGAAAGCTGTACAGTCAACTCTTCCATTTGGAAAACCAAAACCCTCAACTCCATCAAAGGTTGGTCCAGCAGATGGTAAAAAGTCTTCAAGCTCTGGCAGTGGAAGTCATAGCTCATCACCTCTCAAGGGGGACACTGATGAACACAGTAAAGACAACAGTTTCCGAGAATTCCGAAGAATCTGCATAAACCTGGCTGAAGAACCAAGCTATAATAACAAGAGCAAGATCTTGTCTGAATTCTTTGAAAAGGGGAGCTCTGGAGGTACATCAGAATCAGTTATTACAAGAAACAGCTACTTGTAGTAAACTGTTGTTTACTGCTTTTGTGTTTGCTAAGATCAGCTTTATTTTCCCCCAGATGGATTTACAGGAGACTTGACACTGTGGGTGAAAACACTACTGCCTGCAGTCAACAAGAGAGTGTACAACTTGCAAAGCAAACAACTTGTTAAATTATACAGTCAGGTAGCTGTGACAATATTGCAGTTCATGAACAATCTTGCAGGGCATGAAATTGCACCTGATACAGGCGCCAATGTGACTAAATTTTTCACTTTGGCGACCAAATCCTGAAAATTAGTCGCCAAATTGGCAACTAGAATGTTTCATCATAACCTTACCAAGAGATATAGTGAATTAAAAAGAGTTGCAAAGATAAATCCGTGGCAAACTTCCTCACTAAGTTTGTTTCCAAAACGCAGCACATGCATCTCGATTGATAACTAGACGTCATCTTGGAATTATGTGAGCTTGAACATTGTATATCATCCATCTTAGTGTCCACTTTGCAGCATGTTAAAGATCTTTATCTAGAACACTGAAGCATAAAAAAAGGTTTTGTTTGTCTTTGAAAATGGTGACCAACTTCTTTTGAATTAGGAGCCAAGTGGCTATCAGAAAAAAAGTTAATTTCATGCCCTGTCTTGTATACAGCTGTTTTTAGAAAGGTTTTGTTAAATAAAGCTTAAAAGTGCATGCATCAACTCCAAAAGGTATTGTTGGTAGTTTTCAGATCATTGTTCTTTGACCTCAGGATTTCAAGGAAATCAGAGAGGATAATAGGGCATAGTGGGTTTGATTAATTTATTTGTTTATATGACTTGTCAAAATTCATTGATTACTGGATACGCAGGTTACCTTTTGAGAATTTGTTGTATATACTTTTGTCTTTTTGTTTCTGACAACCTTTCTTGAAACAGCTGTATGATTCTGTACCTAGTATAACCCCTATAAGTCCCAAGTTTTGTCACACCAAGAAATCTCTGATAGATGTAAAATATTTTTAAATGCATTGTAATGATTAATATTTATTATGCCTCTTTGAATTTTTTTTAGATTTTTGGATGTAGCCAAGATGACATGATAACAGACTTAGAGCAGGTACAGTAATATTTTGAGTAAGGAAACTGACTTCACTAATTGTCTTGTTTTGTTCAAATAATATTTAAAGAATAGCATATCTATTCTTTCAAGCTTTGCTGTGCCTAGAACCTGGGCTAGTGTTAATTCCTCTGATAGGAGAGTTCTTCAGAAGACTTGGGTTACTTCAACAGAATGTGAAGATGTTTTTCTTTTTCAGAGATAAGACTTGTCTTATTAAACCCTATTTCACTTCCACAGGGTGATGTATCAGAGACTTTGAGCACATTTTTTCAGAGCAGCTCACTGCTAAAACCTCTAAAGAAGAGTTTGATTTCATTACAAGAGGTAAGTTACTTTGCTAGGTAACACATGTAGGTACCTTTTGGTTAAATCTCATAAGCAAAATTAAATTGTTACAAATTAACTAGTTCTTTTGATACAAGGTTGATGCGTTTCTTGACAAATTGAAAACTCTGACAAAGGAAGATGATCAACAGAGGGAACTCACTAAGATGACAAGAAGGTACAGTGCCACCTTAACTTTTAATCTTTTGCCTAATTGATTTTGACATCTTTGTTAAAATTACCTAACTTTTTTTTTTTAAGCTGATGCAACAGCTGTGCTTCTCTAGTCTTTGGCATATACAAATGTAAATTCTTTTTATTTTTTTTGTCTTTTATTTTTTTTTTAGATGCTCTGCAAATGACTTGAAGTTCATCATTCGTCTTATCAAGCATGACCTGCGAATGAACACAGGAGCAAAACATGTGTAAGAATTAATTAAAACATGTTTTCCAGAACCAAATTTTTCAACCGAAAAAAACTTATTGTAAATCTGTATTACATGTTTGTTCAAGAATAATAGACTCTTTACACCCCAGCATCTGTATACATACATATATTCTTCATACTGTTTTCCATACATTTACTATGGTACTGACCAGGAGAATTTGTGTGGCAATCAAGGGGGTCTTTTACTGGTGATCAAAACTTTTGTTCTTATCACCTTAATGTGTGATTTAGCTGTGATACTGCAAGTAGAAATGAGATGTTGATCACTCTTAGGAGTTAGAGGGTTCATTTTTGCTGTTCCACGGATAACATCCTTGGGTCATGATATCCTGCCTAAAAATTACCGAAAACAACAATTTCATTATTTTCTAAAACTTCTGTCCTCAGTTGGGACTAGTGTGAACAATTCACATGATGATGATGATGTTCAATGTCAAATTTGGCCAGTCTGGACAGGGCCTCATAAATTGTCGCAACATACATTGTGAATGTAAATACTCAGCCCAATTGGAGAGACCCCGCAATGGGGCGAGATGCCCCTGAAAGGGTGGCGATTTTAAGGTCCCTGTCTGCTGCGTCATCCAAAAGAAACCAATTATTGCGGTCTCTCTGCATTTGTATTGATGAACTGTGTGTGTCCTAAAGGTTGCACACTAAATCTTGGCATATTTAATATGAGAGCATTAATAGTGTGTTACCACTGAGATAGTACAAACTATGTATTGCCAAACTGTGTGGGTCTTAAAGGTGCACACCAATAAGGCTTGGTGATTGTAAGGTTGCTGTGCACTCTGTCATCCACAGGGTTCCAATTATTGTGATCTTTTTATATTGGTATTGCTTAACTGTGTGTGTCTTGAAGATGCACACCAATAGGGCTTGGCGTATTTAATATGCAAGCATTAGTGGTGTGTCTCCATTAAGATAACACAAATCATGTTTTGCTTCATATAAACCTGTGTGTGTCTTAAAAATGCACAGTGACAAGGCTTGGCTTATTGAGCGTGCAAGCATTAGTAGTGTGGTACATCAGTGTACCATTAAGATAACACAAATCATGCATTGCTAAACTGTGTGTGTCTTGAAGGTGCACACCACTAATGTTGGCGTATTTAATATGCAATCATTAGTGGTGTGTTACCATTATGATAACACAAATGACACATTGTAAACTGTGTTTCTTGAAGATGTACACCAATATCATAATACATGAAGGAAATGATTAAACCTTGATTTTAAAATGTTCTGTTTTTCATAGCATGTTATATATACTATTTTGATCACCCTTAACACCCTAACATCAGCAAGTGATATTCTTCATAACCTGTACTTACAATAATTAAAATTCAAGAGGTTTTGAAGTTTCAGATCATTTCCTTTATTGCTATGAGCCTAGTGATACCTTGGTGGGAAAAGACATGCTAATTTCCCCAAGGGTTAAATGGCTAAACCATCTGCCATTACTGGTCATGTTTTAGTTGGGAGTTTTTTAGTTTAGTTGGCTTTATCCAGCATTGGGAATGCTGGATAAAGAGGGAAAGTGAAATCATTTACTTGTAACTTACCAATTTATATTTTCAGTGTGTAAACTCAGCTTATTTTCTATGCACCTCAAGATGTTCATGTTTTAGGATGTTAAAAGTAGTAGATTACATTCAGTTCTCATCCACATAGAGCTGAGAGAGAATGAGTTGATTGTTCACTGTGGTGGCACTTGTAGCCTTTTCACTCCCAAAATCTGATTGGTAATTGTCCCCTCTAGCTGCTTGTAAATGAATCACGAGAATTTGGTGTTAGATCAAGCTAACAACTGCTACATGACCTGATACATTTTAGCATTCTTGTTTCCTGTTTGCTGGATAATGTATGGATATTTTAGGGAGAAATAACATGGTAATCACATCTGGCAGTAAAAAAGTTAA